TTTTTTACTTTCGTTTTTTTTTTCTTTAATTTTTAATGCGTGTATGTAAAATATTTTGTTACAGTATTATTATTTTTAAACCAATAAATCTTAAATCATTTTTAATTTAAGAAAAATGAAATAAATCTTGGGTTTGCTTTTACTTTGACTTCTTTATTATTTTAATTGAAAAAATTAAGCAATGATATTGATATTATAGTAGAATATGTTTAGAATTAATATTTTCATTTGTAATAGATTCCTTTTTATTTATTTTTGATTGATTTCCCATATGTAATTTCTGAACATATGCTAAATCGCGATGTCTAACGGACGATGTATCACGATTTAAAATTTCTGACATCAACCAGTCCTTATCATAGTATTTGACAATTAAGCTACAATTTTAATTATTTGGCTACTATTTTCGATAAATTTTTGCTCTTGTTCAGGCAACTATTTTTATAGTTTTAGGCAACTATTTTCATGCTTAAGGATACTAAAAGCAACTATTTTTGTCCATTTTTTACTGTGGCAACCCTGTGTCCTTAGCCCTACACCTTACTCCTGGATGGCCTGTTTCCTGATATAATCCCCAGGAGCAGGGTGCCCAACTATACCCCCAGACACTATGTGCCCATTTTATTCACCTTTTACGACATGCATGAGCTACAGTGGGACTATTCTTTCCAACCCGGTCAATTTTTTGATGCTTTTTGCAAATTTCTTTTTAGAAGGTATAATAAATTCATACAAACTTTTCTTGTTTGAAAGTTTTTTCACCGTTTCTGGGAAAAGTTAGTCACTTTGCAAGATTTGTTTTCAGGTTTAAATTATGTGGTTTTTGCATCTATTTGGGCGTATCTTATTTATCAAAAATAGCTGACTGGAACAGAATAATTTCAAACGTCGTTTTACCTGTACAATTTCAACTGGCACTTTTATGCATATGAACTATAAAATAAATTTCTATCATCAATTATCCTATTATTTTTTTATTTCTTATTAAAGTATATGAATTTAAGTTCATAGTTTTGTCCAAATTAGTCCTCTTTTTTATGCAAAAATTTTTGCATATTGTAAGATTAAATATTTTTAGTAGTATGCACTAGCTATATATATGTATATTGAGGAATTTTTTCTGAAAAGGAGCATATTAGACACTGGGTGAGTGCTGAGGTCATTTTGAAAAAACATGTTTCCTTGGTCCTTAAACAGAAACTTGATAACTGCTGTGATATTTTAAAAATTACAACATTAACTTAAATAATGTTCAATAATTCTGAATCATTCTCTATTTTATTGTAATATGACTTATGTTTACGTAGTGACAGGGTGTGTAGCGTTTTTTAAAAGCCCTTAAAGGTGCTTTTTTTTATTCGAGGTTCGTAAAAATTACTTAATTTTCTATATTTTAAAAAGAGATTTTTTTCTTTACCAAATTGATTGTCGTTCAAAAATCGACAAAATTACAAAAATTGCACGATTTTCACAATTTTCTCTACAATATTTATCAGAAACTAGTTATTTTATTACAATTATGTGAAGTTTTTAAATTTTATTGATTTTATGTTTATAAATTAAGAACTTTAAATGATAGAAAAAAATAATTCTTACTACTGCACAGATCTCAATTATGATTTTTTTTAAACTGATTAAAAATATTTTTTGAGTGCTTAAAATGTACATAAAAGGTGCTTATTTTTTGTTGAAAGATTTGGCTACACATATGATTCAATTGTTCTTGAATGTGTTCATTAATTTCAAGGATAAATAAAAGACTGCTAGTGCTTAAAAAATCATTGGAAGTATAATGCAAGGCGTCGGGTGTCACTCTTGATAATTCATTCTATCCTTCACTTAGTGCATATCATTTATAAAATTTTAAAAAAAATTAAAAAAAACCGAACCAGTTTAAGAATTGATCATATGAATAATAATGAAAATAACTATATTTGGAGTACTTTAAATTCAAAGAAAAGCTCAATTTTATTCTATATTGTAGCTTGACCCGGAGCCACCTGACATTTTTATTTTATGTATGTGTTTCATAATAAATACTCTTATAATTAACCTCTTTTTATTAACCTTAAAATTCTTGTGGAAAAAAAAACTATGTACATTAGAGGTCGCAATTAAATTTTTTGCTGAAAAATCTGGCTACGCACCCTGAATTAGTTGTGTGAGGTGTATATTGAAATGTTGTGATGTTTTTAGTCCCTGGGGAAGCACCAAGGGGCATTAAATGCCTGTCAACAACTTCTCAAAGCTTACACATATCTTGGAGTGCGCCCCCGCCTTCTTCCCTTCATGGCATCCTTCAAGGTTACAAAGTCCTCTTCCGACCTGCAGAGTCTCTTGCTGGTAACTTATTCTTTTTTTAAGTTAAAATAGCCTTCAAAAGTTTATTTCAGTGCATCACATTCTGTGTAAACCTAGAAAAACGCCCTGTACATGACTTATTTTTTGGAATGCTAAATTACTAATTGAAGCCCTAACATTACTAATTCTAGCCCCTGTAATTACTAATTCAAGCCCTGTGCTTTGTGCAAAGTTACTAACTTTGAAATAATTCAAAGTTAGTAACTTTGAAATAATTCAAGGTTACAAAAGTCCCCTTCCGACCTGCAGAGTTTCTTGCTGGTAACTTATTCTTTTTAAGTTAAAATAGCCTTCAAAAGTTTATTTCATTGTATTACATTCTGTGTGAACTTAAAAAAACGCCCTGTACATTACTTATTCAAGAATGCTAAATTGCTAACTCAAGCCCTAACATTACTAATTTAAGTCCCTGTAATTACTAATTCAAGCCCTGTGCATTACTAACTTTGAAATAATTCAAGGTTACAAAGCTATCTTTTGACCTGCAGAGTCTCTTGCTGGTAATTTATTCTCTTTCTAAGTTAAAATAGCCTTCAAAAGTTTATTTAATTGCATCACATTCTAAGTAAACCTAGAAAAACGCCCTGTGCATTACTTATTCAAGAATACTAAATTACTAATTGAAGCCCTAACATTACTAATTCTAGCCCCTGTAATTACTAATTCAAGCCCTGTGCGTTGCTAACTTTGGAATAATTCAAAGTTAGTAACTTTGAAATAATTCAAGGTTACAAAGTTCTCTTCCGACCTGCAGAGTTTCTTGCTGGTAACTTAATCTCTTTAAGTAAAACAGCCTTCAAAAATTTAAATCTCCTTAAGTTAAAATAGCCTTCAAAAGTTTATTTCATTGTATTACATTCTGTGTTTCATTTCATTGTATAAAAAAACGCTCTGTCCATTACTATCTGAGTGCATTTTTTAAAATTAAGAATTAATTTTCAAAAAAAGAATTGTTTTTGAAAGAGTTGTACACTGAAATAATTAGAGAAAAAATGGAAATATGTTTTACAAGGTTCAGTTTAAAAGTTATATTTCTCTCAGTGGAGGTGACATTTAGTCTTCATCTTGAATTTAATTAAAGGAAAAACATTGAAGCCCTGGGCAAAATTGTAAAGAAATTTTCCTGAAACGCACTACTTTCTTACTGTATAACACGGATTTTTCACGCTGGAATATGTGCATCAGAAAATTTGGCTGAGACTAACACTCAAAGGGTTTAATAGCTAAATACATTTTTTTATCATTATTATTCTGAATTAAATGAAGCACAGATGGAAATTATAATTATTTTTTGCTAAAAAAGTTCCATTCATGTATTTGAGTGTAACAGGAATGGCATTACAATATTTTCCAGTATATTTTTTGTTTCTTATTCATTATAAATAGTATTATGAGTTGAAAAGCATAAATAATATGCATTATCAGTTTTTTGCTGATTGAGTGAGATTTGTTTAATAATAATAAAAAAAATAATTTGTTGACAATTGTTTCAATATAGTATTTACATAATACTGTAAAAAATGATGAGAACATTGAGAAAATATTATGATAATGATGACAATATGCTATATGTCTCTCTTACAGTGATACAGTATAATGTGATACAGTATAATGTGATACAGTGGTTATAACAAATACTTACTTGACATCTGTACTTAACTATAGATGGTAATTGTTAAAAATTATCTCACACAGAAAATTGCTTCATCAAAAAATCAGTAGATTTATAATAGTATATGCAGTTTATATTTGAAGTATATCAGTTAAAATATCCACACTAATAAGTAAACATTCATATTTCTAATGTATGTTGTTAAATTCAGATTTTATTAACAGGAATCATATTTTTATTTAAAAAATAGGTCCGTAAGCAGACCTATGCTTAAATGGATCACAATTATGATGAAGTATTCTATTTTGGGTAATAACAGAAACCAAAACCCAAAATTAGAAATAAAAAACAAGCATACCATCCTTTTACACCGATTCCTGCTCCAAGCAACCACTGATGATGATTTTATGGTAGCCCAGATTTAATTTTAGTGGTCCTAAACCAACAAAACCTTTTTGAGCACTTGTAATACATTTTTCAACTGGCATTTAACAATTACTAATTTGAAAATTATTTATTAAGAAAATTGTTACCACAATTATGTATGCATAAATATTGAGTTTCAGAACAAGAGATATTCTAATAAATAATGTCTTTTTCTGCCTTAGGTGATGAAGAATACGAAGAAAGAACTGTTTCAGAGCAAGAAATTAAGTTAACAAATTTACATAAATTTACTAATTATACTGTGATAATTATGGCTTATACTCAAAAAGGTTTTGGAGTTCGAAGTGATGCAATATTTTGTTCTACTCTAGAGGATGGTAAGATTTTCATATTAAACCATTCAATTTCTTCCTTTTAATATTGTTCTAAATAGAGGAGCGACACCATCTATGACTTTTCCATAAACATATTTTCAATTTCTTTTTGTACTTTTGCCTTTTTTGAATGTGTAAAGTATGAGTTTATTCAAAGCTACTAAACCGCTTTGGTAATGATTTTGGTAAAATTCGCCATAAAATATAGCGTTATGATATGTGATAAAAATTTGGTAAATGTGGCACAATTTGGTCATTTTATCAAAATTCTTTAGAGCATGGCATAAAACCGTGTAATTGGTTAAATTTACTATTTAGTTTTCCATGTTTTACTTTTTTGTTTGGTGATGAGAACTATACTTTTAAAAACCAGAATTTCCGGTAAATTACCAAATTAATACCTACAAAGATTGAAGGTATATTTACAAATTTAAGTCTAGTGAGTACCTAATTTGGTACAAAAGATATCAAATATGTTAAAAGAAATGTTCTTTCAATGATAAATTTTCTAGGATTTTACACAAACTAATGTTTTTTATAATATTCACACATTATCTTGGATTTAAGATTAAATTGTTTTCTGATTAATTAAGTAGAATATATTTTAATAGTTTTCTATTTGTTTGAAATGTTATCTTTACAGTGATTGTATTTTTGACAATTTATCGCAAGAATAACACTTATTGTTTCACAAAAAAAATATTTTAATAAATTAATTTAAATTGTTTTCTGATTAATTAAGTCGAATATATTTTAATAGTTTTCTATTTGTTTGAAATGTTATCTTTACAGTGATTGTATTTTTGACAATTTATAGCAAGAATAACACTTATTGTTTCACAAAAAAAAATATTTTAATAAATTAATTTATGATCAGATAATTTATTTAATTCTTCCTTTTTAAAAAGTTATAGTTCCTATACATTATATGTGAATTTCTGATTTTATTCCAATATGATTCATAGAATTTGTATCTCAAAATTTGTTTAAAAAAATATCTCTTTCTGTGATCACAAGAGTAATGAAAAAGTGAGTTATTACCAGGGAAAAAAATATCTTTTTTTTTTGTTAAGTCAGATGGGTTTTATTAAGTAAAATATATGTATTTTTCATAAATAGTTATCAATTTGATTTCAAATATATTTTGTGATAAATAAGGGGTAATATACATGAAATTTTTCTCTAACGATCACAAAAGTAACGCTGGACATACTCATATGCTTTATTTTTTCATTTTATCTAGTGTCTAATTTGTAGAATATTTGATTATAAATTATATTTTCTAAAAAATAAGTAGATTATTTTTTCTAAAAAAATTTAAACAATCAGTTTAAGTTATGCAATTGAATATTGTACATTTTTCTTGTTTTGTTTTAGATTTTTTTGAAGTTAAATTTTGTGTTAAGTTAAACTGATGAAAATTAATTTGAATGAGGCTGAAAAGTTCTTTAAACATAAATAATTTTTAAGAAAATCAAGGATTGTTTTTATATATTTGAAAAAGGTAAACTTATTTGCATTTCTGAAAAAGCTGATTTGACAATTGATTGGTGTAATTTTGTCTAAAATCCTAGAACAATGATGTAGATATTTATCTTTTTTTCTGATTGGGCAGCAGCCTTTTATTGCACATTTTAAAAAAAAAAAAACTACCAACTAAATTGAATATTAAACATCAGGTTTTTTTTGTGAAAATTCAATTAATATGATTATTTCTTTAAAATATTTAAAAGAAGAAATTATAATGCTCGTAAACTATATCACTTTTAATATTTGCTTGCTTAATAATATCCATAATGTTGTAATGATTTCACTTTCTATGTTTTTTTAGTTCCCGGATCTCCTGCTGATATAAAAGCAGTTGTTATGTCTTCAGATACTATTCTTGTTAGCTGGAAGCCTCCCCTGCATTCCAATGGTTTAGTTACAAAGTTCACATTATACTGGCGAAGTTTAGTAAGTGGTGCAAAGGTGAGCACTTTTTTTAAGTTTTTTTTCTTCTTTAACAATAAATAACTGTAAACTTTTTTCTTTTTGTCCATACTTTTTACGATAATGTATGAAAACATGTCACTTAAAATGGTTGTTTTTTATTTCAGAATGAATCTGTTATTCGTGTTCCCTCCAATCAGTATCAGTACAAAGTATCAGGACTTCCAGACCGCTCCCGACATGAATTTTGGATTACAGCTTCAACAGCAAGAGGAGAAGGGGAGCCAACTAGAGTTGTCTCACAAACCACAAGTAGTAGAGGTAAAAATCTCTTTAGTTTTATAGAATGAGTGAAAAAACAAATATTTTAAACCTAGATAAAATTTTAAAACATTTTTAAAAAAAAGATAAATGAAAACTTTTGTCAAATACTTTCATATTAAAATCTGGATCAGTTTCTAATCTTTCATCTTTCTGCTGTTTAATTTTTAAAATCCTGGCTATATACGTGTTTCAAGACGTCACAAAATACTTATCCTTCTTCAGTACTCGTATTTATATTAAAATCGCGGTCAAGACAGTAATTATAAGTTAATAATAAAAAGAATATGGAAATACATACTTTAAATTATTATGTTAATACATTCATGCGTAAATACATTTCACCAGAATGCCTGCTGGTGAAAATAAAAAGAAATAAACTCACCAACTTAATTAATTCATTACAAAATTAAAAGTGAAAGAAAAAAAGAATTCTAAAAAAATTATCAAACAGCAGCGGTCGGCATAGCAACGCATGTGGAATGTTACTCTTGAACACAGTTGAAAAGTGTGATGACATCCAAATTAGGTGCGCACGCCATCAAACTCAAAACAACACCCATTTTGTCAATGGGTAATAAATTAAAACTACATGTTCTTCAAAGAACGGACATAAACCCCTAAAAAAAAGTTCCCAAAGGGAGAATGTTAACATTCTTTGAATGAAATGAAAAAATAAACTTTTGATTTTCCTAAAAACGAAAATTTCATGGATTTGAGATTGAAAGAAGACAGTTAAAAGTTAATCCTCTTTATTACTCTTCTGTTTATCGAAACACGCGCGATTGTAAACTTTGTGCAAACTTGCAAATTGGAAATATGTAAAATTACAATAACAGCATCTGCAATTTCTTTTTACTCTTGATTACTCATTTTGATAAATTCAAACATTCTCAATTCTATTAAAATAGCTGGATTGGTGACTGGGCATATATTAAAAAACAGAATTTTCAGAAAAAGACGAAATTGAAGATAACGAAGTTTATAAATTCAAACGCGAGTAGAAAATACAATTTTCATAATATAATAGCGTCCCTAAAATACTTAACAACCAATTTTTGGTTTGTCCAAAAACATGTTTTCAGTTTTTTACCAGAATTTCTATGACAATAGAAAAAAATTTGGGAATAAATAACATTACAATTACAGCATCTGCAATTTCTTTTTACTCTTGATTACTCATTTTGGTAAATTAAAAGATTCTCAATTCCTTTTAAATGTAATTGTTGACGGAGATCATATTTAAAAAACAGCATTTATTTAAAGTCACATATAATTTGATTATTTGTTGATTGATATTTTTTTTTTTTGTTGACAGTTTTAAATAACTTTTCTTGCTTACCACAGTTTTTTGAAGAAATTTTATTTAAACTGAATGCTGCTTTATCACATTATTTGTGAATTTAACTGAGGTTGAAAATTTTGTATGCCACATAAGATTACTGTCTTATCTTGATTACGCTCTTATCTATCTTATCTTAAAATTACTGTCTTATCTTGGATTACTGTCTTCGGATTAACGTCTTGTCCACATCGGATTACTATCTTATCTTGAAATTTCACATTTACAAAAGAGAATACATGAATTTACTTAAATTTTCAGATTGGATTCACCCATTTGGTTGTGGTCACCACTTCTAAATGTTGATATTAAAATGTATTTCTTATTCTGCAGTTCCTGCTCGAATCATGGACTTTGGTGAAACGATTCTTACTGTGCCTGGAGACAAGGTTATCCTCAACTGCCAAGCTGTTGGATCGCCTGTTCCAAAAAGAGAATGGAAACTTAGGTATCCTCTCGCTATTTACTGTTAAATTATTTCTTATTTATCCACTCTGTTGAAATACTTTTGTTACTTTTACATTGTTTCTAAAAAAAAAATATGCCCTCAAAATTGCATCTTACATGAAATTTTTTCCTACTGCCTAAATTCTAAGCATGCAATACGGACCTAAATTCTAAACATAGATGTGTGTATGTTACATCGTATAATATGGTACATGTGGGGAGAGGAGCTACCAACCATGCCAACCTTCATCTATCCAAAGGTACCCCATGATTAAATCGAGTTAGCAAGTCTTATGTACCGGTGAATTGATGTTTAGAAATCATGGTGGTAGTTTTGCCACAATACTCCTCCACCAAAATTTCATCAGGGATGGAATTCCACAAATGGAGACCTCTTTTCCTTTTGCCACCAGGAAGCCCAGGAGAAACAGTTAATTCCCCCTTTTGACTGTGGTCCATAGCCTAGTGTCCTCTAATTATGTCAACTTGGTCTTCTTGAAATCTTCACCAATATGACTGCTATCTCATTACCAGAGGATATACCTCTTTTCCTATTTCATAATACATTTATTATATTCATGAAAACCAAGATTTTTGATGTGATGAGAGACAATGAAGTTTGCTAAAATAATTATTATTTTCTAATTTTAAATTGATTGACTAGGCACAGCATTAGTAAAGTTTGTTGCACGAAAAAGATGGCGTTTTTTTTTTTTTTTTTTTTCAAACTAAAAATTTATTTTTATCAATTTTAACATCAATTTTAAAAGTCAAGAGATTTTATACTTTATTTAAATGTTATAAATATGTTTTTCTCTTAAATGAATAATTAGAATAAGTGTTAATGATTTTAAAGGGGTGAGCCGCTGCCCAAAATAATGCACCGTATAGAAGTTCATTCTGATGGATCATTAGTCATAAGAAAACTCCAGGTTTCCGACAGTGGAAATTATTCTTGTCGTGTGCAGAATCGTCATGGTGTGGATGAGATACATTATGTTCTTGCTGTTACAGGTATTTTACACTACTGTGAAATAAATCTGCATCTACACTGGTGTAAGAAATTAAGAGAATTTGCAGACTTGGTCGATTATCTCTAGAACAACTGGACCGATTTTAATGAAATTTCATATGAATATACATTGATAAAATACAAAACAAATAACCATTCAACAATTGTAATACACTCGCATGATCATGCGTAACACTCGTTGGAGTCGGAAGGTATGAAACAACTGTTGCAGAATAAACAAAATAAAATGGTCCCCTCTTACAGCGTGATTTCATACTTGAATTAAGACCGTTTATCATTTCTTGTGGCAATTGGCCTGAATTCTCCTGCGGCAATTTCATATCTTCCAAATCCAACGAGTGTTACGCATGATCATGCGTGTGTATTACAATTGTTGAATGGTTATTTGTTTTGTATTGTATCAATGTACGTATCAAATTTCATTAAACTCCTTCCTGTAGTTCTAGAGATAATCCACCAAGTCTGCAAATTATCTTAATTTCTTGCACCAGTGTACATAAATTAATTCCTCTTTTTCTAATCTAGTTTTAAATGAATTTTTTTTTAAATTATAAACATTTATTATAAGATACATTTGGAAGATTCAAAAGTTGAATCCATTTTTGAACCTAAATCCCTTTTCTTGATAATGAATAATATTTAAAAACGATGTTATTCTGTGATGATGACAAAGATTATAAATTCAAACACGATTAGGAAATACAGTTTTCATATTATAATAGTGTCCCTAAATTACTTAACAACCATTTTTTTGGTTTGTCCAAACACATGGTTTCAGTTTTTTGCCAGAATTTCTATGACAATAGCACAGAAAAAAAAATTGGAAATAAATTACTCATTTTGGTAAATTAAAACATTCTCAATTCCTTTTAAATGCAGGTGTTGACTGAGATCATATTTAAAAAATATAATTTATTTAAAGTCACATATAATTTAATTATTTGTAGATTGATATGTTTCTTGACAGTTTTAAATAACTTTTTTTGCTTACCACATTTTTTAAAAGAAGTTAAAATTAAAGTGAATGCTGCTTTATAACATTATTAGTGGCTTTAACTGAGGTTGAAAATTTTGTGTGCCGCATCAGATTACAGTCAAATATGTATCTTATCTTGAATTTTCACATTTACTTAGAGATAATACATATAATCTAATGCGGAAACTTCATCTGCTGAAATAATAAGGAAAAAACAGCAAATACCCATTTTCGTTTTAAAGCATTTATTTTTCAATATCAAACAAATTTCAAAATAACAGAAAATAATATTACAGAGAGAAAATTATATATATTTTAATGAATAACAGAATTTTATGAAGAACAATCTTATCTTGCTGACTTTCATTTCTTTATTGTTCAGTGATTTAAATAATTTACCTTTTAATTCAGAATGCAATAACATGAATATTCTTTTCAATGCTTTACTATGGATTTTTCATATATAGAGCCTGGTATGTTGTTTTATTTTTTCACATTAAATTATCATTAGTTATTTTGTCAGTTATTCACGCAAAACCTAAGAAATATTTATTATTATTTTTTTTTTAAATTAAATTGAAATATTTTGAAGTTTATTGATTAATCTAAAACACAGTGCTTTAAAATAAAAAATTTTCTCAACATTTTACTGTGTAAATTATTGCTGATTTTTTATTAAATTTCAGAACTTGTTTTTTTTTTATTTCGTATGCTTATTGAAACATATTTAAATCTCTCTTATTTAGTGTACTTCATGAATTGGTAATATTAAATGATTATTAAAGCAAAAAATAATTTTTGAATTTACTATCATATAAAGTACAGAAATGGGCATAATATTGTTTTTGCTCTTTTAAATAACTACCTTTCTCAGTGTCTAAACACCAAATGACGGTCAGAAAAGTAAAATGATCAACACATGCAAGGTGGTTTATCCAATAGGGATAGAGGAACAAGCTTGTACAAGATAATAAAAGAAAGGTGATAAGAAACAGTTGCTTGGAAGTGACAGAAAAGAAAATTAAATTAAAAATTTATTTTCAAACACTGGGAAAAGATGGGATACTAGAAAGATTAACAAGATTATTAAAAAATTTTAAAACATGGAATTATTCCCAGAAATCAAGCTCAGCAGAGGAAGAGCAGTTATGATTGATTTTATCAGAAAAAAAAAAAACTTAAACCCATGATTAGGATTCCAACCATGTAAGGCGATTAAAGGTGGTCCTGATTTTGGATATATCTTTCCCATTCTTCAAATCAAAATTTAGAACCAAATCTATCGAAATTTCATTTCTGTGCTTAATTTGTACCTTATTCACACTGTTTTCTGCTTTAGTCTATGCAGCAAGAAATATACCCTATCCTTCTTTTGGATAATTGATTTTTATTTCAATGTTTCAGTTCCATCTCATGTTCCTGTGGTAAAAGTGATTTCTTCCGCTGCCAATTCTGTTCTATTAGAACTTCCACAATCGAAAGAAAGAATTATAGCAAGAGGTTTGTTTGCTTTTCATCATTTCTTAATTGGTTGTTAATAAGTTCCCACCAAAAAAAAGAACAAAAAAAAATGGTTTAAAATGGTTTTGAAAATCAAATCAATTTAAGTTAATAAGCTAAATGAATTTTTTTTTAAAAAATCAATCTCAGTCATTAAAATATTTTAACGACATTGGTAGGAAAAAATGGGCCTATAAAGGGCAGTTCAAACTAAAATATTCTAATGACAGTCTAAATTTAAACAAATCTACTAAAATTTTGTTCTTACTTTTCATGTAGGTTATGAGCTTCATTACAAAGCAGAAGATGGTGAGTGGCAGCAGAGACGGTTCCTTAGCAAAAACCACACCTACAGATTAGAGGGGTTGGAGTGTGGCGTTAAATATCAACTTTACGTAGTTCCTCTAACCAGTGAGGGGAAGGGGGAGAGGAGTAATCCTCTCTCATTCAAGACACAAGGTTCTGGTGAGTCCACTTATAGTTATGTTTTTATGATCTTGTTCTAAGAATGCATTTTTCCTATTCATCAACATTTGTATACATAGCAGACTGAAAGATTTATCACCAGTCAGAAGACACACAGGGTTACTTTTTTAGTTGCCCTTTTCATGTTAATCTGACACATGAGGCCTCTTACTTATTTCTCCATGTAATTCTGTCAATATTGTCCTCCTTTATGAATTTTTGCCATGCAAATCTGGGCCTCCTTTTTTTTCTTTTTGTCATCAGGTGCCCATGCTCTTGAACATTTGCAAGATTGTTCTTATTACCCTAGCAGCAAAATTCAATTGGGCCTTCATTGAACCAATATTCATGAATCCTGACTCAATAAGGGTTCAAAGAGCCATTATTACCCCAATATTAGCCCTATATAGAATTGTCCGATTTTCCTGATATTTTACTGCTACTTTACAACCAATATCGGCCCTATATAGAATTATCAGATTCCTTCGATATTTTATATTCATTAATCAGCCAATATAGGCTCCTTAAAGCAGGGTTTGTTGATTTAAATCAAATGATTTATATATATATATACATAGATTTAAAAAGTTAAAAAAGAGTGTTTTAAATTATTGATAGTTTTATTATTTCTTTTCTTAGTATTAAAATTTATTATTGCTGCATTAATTAATTTTAACTATAACAAATTTGAAATTACATTTTTTAAAATCTTTTTATTCTTGAGATTGAAAGTACAGATTAAAGTAAACATTTAAGTATTTTTTCTCATATTATGTTTACAGTATTTTTGACATTATCAGATTTTCTATAAAGAAATTTTGTGGGAAAAAAATTTCAATAAGTAGGTACATAGATTTTTAAAAAAAAATTTTTTTAGCTTAACTTATCTATTTTGATATAGGATTAAAAATTAATATTTTAACATTATAATATCTAGATTAAATATTGATTTATTTTTTGATGAATGAAGACATTTATAAACACAATCTGTTGCATTTATTTTGTGATTTTAAAAATCAAGAGGAAAAAAAATCAATTTTAAATTAAAATTCTGGTTTGGTAATTGAAGCTTTGTTTTAATAGTTAAAGTATTCTTTAAATTCTCTATTTCATCTAGTCTTTAAATTTCAATCATGCATTTGTTTCAAAATGGTTGCTATGCATTCAAAGCTATGTATTATTATGAAAAAAAAAATTTAGGTAGTTAGAGCTTCTAAAATATTCTTATAATACAGTTTTAATATTAATTTAATTTTGATTAAGCATTTATAAAGTTTTTTTAGTCATAAATCAAAGTTCTTACAGTGTCTTTGAATAAAAATCGAAAAAATCTGATTTAAATTGTAAAAAATCAGATTTAAATCAAAAAAATCATGAACCTGGCCATAGAGGCTGATATTGCCCCTATATAGGACCAATATTAAAAAATCTTAAAACCTCAAGGATTTGAAAATGATAATTTGTGATGAGCATCAAAAATTTGCTACTACGAAACACATACAATTCACCGCCAATATACTGACATTAAAAATACAAAAAATTTTCATTTATAATGAGTTAAAAATTACTTGCCTTTCACTTTTATGTAAAAAAAAAATTTTTTAAGGAAATTTTTTTCAATTATGTAAGTGGGCAACATTACATGAAAAAAAGACATTTTGAATAATCTTTTTATCACTAATTTAATATTAAATATGGATATTTACTCATAGCGACAAGCTTACTATTATAACAATTTCATCTGCAATTATGAATTTTCAATACAATGAACTTTTACAGTATTTTCTGAGTAAATGTAACTTTGAAAAAAAAATTTTAACCATACAATTTGAAAGATCCATAAATTCTGTTTTAATGAATTGATTTACAAAATCGGCATATTTTTTTGACTTTCTGTTTTTAGTTCCTGTTGCTCCAAAGCAAGATGATATGATTTTTACGAATGCAACTCACCTCGTATTGCATTTGTCGAGTTGGCAGGGCAACGGCTGTCCAATCACACGTATGAGCATCGAGTACCGACCGCACAGTCACAGCAGGTGGACAATGTTGACCGATCACGTGAATCCCGAGCAGCAGAATCAACTTGTTGTGCCTGACCTGGCTGCTGAGACGTGGTATGTTGTAAAATTGACAGCCTACAATGCTGCCGGTTCAACGACAGCAGAATATGATGTCATCACCTTAACAAATGGTATTCATTTTTTATTTATTATTTTTGATAACTCATTTTTTTTGTTTCTTCGCCTATATCATATTTGTAAAAATATTCTGGTAAACTCCTAGAATATCCCACCTCTTGACTGGTGGATAGTCAAATACAGCAGGTTTCTCACCAGGCACACCATTTGACCAGGCATTTTGAACTGGTCACTTCCTCGTATTAGCTTCGTCAAGGCGGGGGCATACAGGGCTGTTGTCCCAGGCCCCCACATCAGATGGGGGCTCCAAATTCAATAGAAAGTTCATTTTATGTTTTCTTCTTTACTGAACTTTTTTGAAACAAAATCTCAGTAGTGTAAAATTCGTAAGCTATATATTAACTTCTTCATGTATGGACACAAAAAATCTTTATTTTGTAAATACATGACTTTCTAGAGTGGAATTCAACAAAATTTTCGCAATTAAATGGACAAATTTGACAAATGAAAAGCCAATATTTTTGCATATCGCGAAATTAATATGTCCCCATAAAGTTCGTTTCTTCGTTATTGAAGTAGTGAAGCAGAGGGGGGAGGGGAGCCAAAAGAAGTTTTTGCCCCATGCTCCAATTGGGCCCTAATAACTGGTTGCAATTGATTATCGTATGGAAAATATTTTACAAAATTCTCTGTTACCTGTATTTGTATCATTTGCTTACCATTAGTAATGTCATAAGAAATTTGTTTTAATTTACTTACGATAGTTGTTTATTTTTCATGACTTTTTTGCTCAATGTGTAAAAGTTTTGATGTTAACTTAAATCTATTAATAACAAAATTATTCTTGTCTCTGAAAAAAAAAGCCTTTCCTGACCATGGGTCTCAAGGACAGCTACCCTCTGCAACCTCTTTCTTTGAAGATACTACCACTCTTGTTTCTATGGCATCCTCTGGAGTTGTTTTAATTGCGGGCATTGTTGCTGTTGTTTGCCTTATAATGTACAAAAGGAGAAGGAACTCTGGACATCACTACAGAGGTAATAATATCACTCTTCAGCAGATGAGCACTCAATTTCTCTCTCTATATATATATCAGGTTTCGGAGCATTTTTAAAAAGTGCTCAAAGATGGTTATTTTTGATTCACATTTTTATAAGCACTTAAAAGTGCTTTTTTTTATCCAAAAATGCTTACTTTTCTATCTTTTAAAAAGAGATTTTCTTGTCCTTTCGATTGTCGCTCTAAATTACAAAAAATTCATGATTTTCACAATTTTCTCTGCAATACTTATCAGAACTTAGTCATTTTATCTTGATTATGTAAAGTTTTTGTAAATGTTTTGAATTTTATTGATTTTATGTTTATAAATTAGAAAAAAATAATTTTAGACTTGAAAAATAACTTTAAACATTATAAAAAAAATAATTTTTATAACTGTGCAGATCTTAATAATGATTTTTTTGGAAAGTGATTAAAAATATTATTTGAATGCTTAAAAAGTGCTTCTTATTTTGTTAAAAGAAAATCTGGCTACACATCCTGCATATGAGGCCTGTGCTAAGCATTCGCTACTTTGTCAAATGGGGCAAAATTGTAAATTTGGCCAATAAAATTGTGTTTTGGCTATTGATTTTACCACTAAAAAGAAAACATTTAACTTGATCCTCAAAATTATGTCAAAATAAATTTTTCTAAAAAAATTAGTAGTTTTTATTCAATTACAGTCATTTTAATAAATGTGATGCCATTCCATTTTACATACTAATTTTCAAAGATAATAAAATATTTTCACATATGTTATGCAAAATATTTTACATGTATATAAAATACATTCTTAAACAATAAATTCTCAAGAGATATTACACAAAATACTTTTCAATAAGAGCGAATATATATAAGTTTTGTAAAATTTGCTATAATTCTTAGAAAACCTTGAAATATTATATGTTTCCTTTTAAATAAAATGAATACATAATTGATGTTTAAAGGAAAACATAGTAGGTAATCAAATTTTAAGAATGTATGTAAAATATATTCTAAAAAAATAAATTCTCAAGGGATATTACACGAAATACTTTTAATTTCAATAAGAGCAAATACATCTAAGTGTTTTAAAAATTGCTATAATTCTCAGAAAACCTTGAAATATTATATGTTTTTTTTAAATAAATGAATAAATTAATGTTTAAGGAAAAACATAGTAGGTAATCATTAATATACTTAAATTGCTCACCTTATTTTTAATCTTGGTTTGTTTTTTTTTAAACCACAGCTAAAGAAAAATTAGTTTTAATTGCTAAATGTTGTAAAACTATTGTCATTTATTAACTTTTTTATTGTTTGTTATTCATTGTAGTTTAATTTTTCAAGAAAAACTAATGAAGTACTAATATCAAAAGAAAAAGAGAAGATGTTGAGGCATATTCATCAAAATACATAACATTTCAAAATCTTTAACACACAATATATTTAATACTAGCATTTATAAGGTGACAATCTACTGTATATTTATAAAAGGTAAAGTCATAAGATATGCCATTAAAACAAAATTTGTTTTCAGAAGCGAGGGCAGATGTGTCAACCACAACGTCTTTGATGGCTCACATGGATAAGAAGACAGGAAGATCGTCTGAAGCCAGTAGACAACACAACAGTAGGGGTGGAGATCTCCCCTCATACTTCTCATCCCCTGTCAGGAAAGTAGTTGCTCCGACATCAGCACCTCCTCAGTCACGCCAGCAATCAACAACAGCAGGTCCCTCTACCAGCCATTGTGAGTATCTCTATTGCCATCATAGTGTGTGGCTTTTTTAAAAAGTGCTTACGTTTGCTTATTTTCGTTTTTTAAAAGCCCTTAAAGGTGCTTTTTTTCATTGGAGGTTTTTGAAAAGAGCTTTTCAAAAATTAATATTTTTTTCTTTACCTTGTCGATTTCCACCACGTATTATGCAAAAGCGTGGTTTTCACATTGTTCTATTTAATGTTTTCACAATTCATTCAAACACGATGCATTTCGGCATATCATCCATTCCATTCAAAAAATTTCTCTTTCAGAGTCCAACAATTTGTGATGGAAACATTTACGTGAAAGGGGAGTTAAAAATTTACAATTTTAATAATTCACATGTTTCAAAGTTATAATTTATGCATTAATTGTATTTTGCATTCCCAAATATTTTTTAAGTAAAGTTTTTTAAAGTCAGTATGTTTAGCTAAATTTTGTCACATATTTATATTAGTTTTACTGCTGAATTAATAATAGCTTTAGATTACTGATAATATGATTCTTTTTAAAAATATAATTAAATCCAAACAATAACAACAACAAAAAGTTTGTTAAAAGTGGCTATTAAATAAGAAATAACCTATCAATATCATCTGCCAACTCTTTAGGTTTGATGAAAAACTGAACTGGCTACTGACTGAAAATTTAAATTTTCAGGTTTTATTGATAACAATTATAAATACTGAAAGTTACTTTAATTTTTATCTTTTCTATAAACATTAAATGGCTTCTTTAAATTTAAATTATTCTGTATTTCCTTTTTTAATGGGTGGATCAATGTGTTTTATAACATTTTCCACATTGTAAAAGTTGTTGAAAAATCAATAATTTTAATTTTAACTGTGCATCATATATTAACTGCAATATAAATGTAACTCATATTTAAGCAATATTTCCTGAAGTCTAAAAAATTTTAAAAAAATCCTGAAATAAAAATAATTAATGACTGCCCCAAAAAATTTTATATATA